CTTGTACTAGGTTTACAGATGAGGGAAGCAAGGTTTACATGTATCTCCTGCATCACCAGGGATGAAGTTATAGAGCTGGATTCAGTCTCAGGACAGAGCTGTGCTGCATGGATGCTAGTCTGGGGTGTCTAGAGATGTGGGCTGGAACGTCCCTGGAGAGGGAGTAGGTTGTAGAATCAGAGAGACCCAGCTTCAGAAACCTGCTCAGCTCAGAGTGGGCTTCGCTTCCTTACTTAGCAAAGGTCCATAATGTTTATTCCACATACTGTTGGGAGAATTATATGAGAGCAGTCCATCCAGTCCATTCGAGACTCAACAAAACCTGCTTTTCCTCCTCTAAACTTATACACTTAGTGAAGAGGAGCATTTAGATCATAGTTACTCAGGTATTACCATATTTTAGGCAGTAGAAACTTTCAAGACCAAAAATCCCCATTACCTTAAGCATCAGACAGTCTTCCTATTTTATATAATGCTACCAACTTATTCCTTTAAATTCTTTTGGGGGGCAAGTCTCATCTAACAGTTTTATTAAACTGTTACAGTTTAATAACAGTTTTATTAAACTGTTACAGTTTAATAACAGTTTTATTAAACTGTTACAGTTTAATAACAGTTTTATTAAACTGTTACAGTTTAATAACAGTTTTATTAAACTGTTACAGTTTAATAACAGTTTTATTAAACTTTGGAGTTGGAAACATGCTCCCTTTTCTGGGGCAGGAAAATATGCCACCTGTTTCAGTTCATGTAATCATTATTAAAAAAAAAACACCTGGTGAATAAAGTACCCTTTGAGCGATAAAAGGTGTTGTCTTCTCAGAGAAGCAAAGTGTCCTGACACAGTGGAGCATGTTCGCATCCAGTCCTCCCCGCCTGAGAAACCAGGGCTGTCACGTCTGGTCCAGCCCCACAGTCAGAACATTCTGGGGACAGCGCCTGCAATCCACATGGATTGGATTCTCCATGCTCACAGCTGTGTCAGCTGAACCCCAGCTAGAGGTGTCCCATCAGAATGGCTTTTGATGTGATTTCTGTTTCACATGGGTTTAAAAGTGAACAACTTTCCCAAGACCTTCCAGGGTAGGAGGCAAAGGTTCCCCCACCCTGTGTGGACTTTCTGTGTCCCCTGGCTGGCAGTCAGGGATTCTGAAGCTCAGATAAAGCCCACTGTGCTCAGGGCTGCAGCAAGCCTGTCTCAGTTTGAAGGTGAAGAAAGGTCTCTCATCCTCCCTCCAGCCTAGGCCACCATGAGGCCTATATATATACATGTGCACACACACAAATGGGCACACATATATACATATATATTTAAAGCCCCACTAAGTTAACCATGAATATATGGCTGAAGCTATAATATTTTAGCCACCTGATGTGAAGAGGTGACATTGGAAAAGTCCCTGATGCTGGGAAAGATTGAGGGCAGGAGGAGAAGGGGACAACAGAGAATAAGCTGGATGGATAGCATCACCAGCTCAATAGACATGAGTCTGAGCAAACTCTGGGAGAAAGTGAAGGACAGGAAACCTGGCATGCTGCCATCCAAAGAATGAGCACAACTTAGTGACTGAACAAAGTCGGGCATTTTGTATATTTTCCTCTTAGCCTCGGTCTACTCAGGTCCAGAACAGGTTTTTAGTGAGGCTGCAGGCCTGGAATCAGGCAAGTTGAACACAGAAGAGTTTGCATGGACCTCACTGCTGATGGTCAGGAAAGGAGCTTAGGGTTTGCTCTTTTTTTTTTTTTTTTGGATTTTAGAAATTTTATTGTATTCTGTTTTATTTTTTTTTCTTTTCATTTATTTTTATTAGTTGGAGGCTAATTACTGAAATGTTGTGAAGTAATTAGGGTTTGCTCTTTTAAGTGGCTCTTCATTTAATTCCCTCTGGCCCACCCTTCACGCCTTAGCCAAACCCACTCTCAGACTGCTCCTGTCAGTTTACAAGCCTGTGATGATCGCTCTTATGGACTGAACCGTGTTGCCCCTAAATGTGATCGTGTGCAGAGAGGGCCCTTAAAGGAGCTGATGAAGGTTAAGTGGAGTTGGAGGAGGGGCAAATCCGATAGGATCTGTGGGTCGCCGTAAGAGGTAGCCCACGTGGAGGTGTATTTCCCCAGAGCAGACTCACGGAGGACCTGCAGGAGGCAGCGTCTGTCCACACCCCGGGAGCCAGGTCCCGGGAAGCCAGCCCTGCCGACACCTTGGTCTTGGATGTCTAGTCTTCTGAACAGTGAGGAGATATTTCCCTGTGTTTAAGCTTCTCTTTTGTGATGGTTTGTTTCGGGTGCTGAGTTGAGACAGCCCTGGTGTGGTTTTACCATCACCCTCCGGGCCAGGAAGGGCCTTTCTGATCCAGGTTCCAAGGCTACCCCCTCCCGGAGGGCGAGTCTTCCTCCCTGGGGTGCCCTTCTCTCCTCTGAGTGAGCTGGGGCCCCCGAACCCTTTGTGGGTGCACTTTCCCACTGTCTGAGTGGACCCTGCACCTGCTCCCCTCCCAGCCCCTGGAGGGTTGGGTAGGCATGGGGCCTGAACAGCTTTTCCTCATCAGATGCTAGAACCATCCCCCTCCTTCCCTCAGCCGGCCCACGGCAGTGTCCATGGTCACCGCCTTTGGCCTTGGAAGCCTCTCCCTAATTAGAGTCACTTGGTGCCAAGGTGGGGTTGAGGAGGGGAGTTCTTGAAGCCCAGGTGGACGTTCCCTTTATATTTGTTTTCCACTTTCTAGCTGACAGTGTGCTCAAAAGTAAATGCTCAAGGAGAGTCTGTTGAATGAATGAGCACAATTCTCCATTATTATAAAAAATGTCTCCAGTAAATTAAACATAACAACCAATAAGTAAATTGTCTGATAGCTTTGCACATTAGGTCCATAATAACAAGGTCACCTGTCTGTTATTAAAAATATATCCTTCTTAGGGAATGTGTGATATCATAGTTCTCAAAACGCTCCAAAAGAAAGTATGATCCATATGTCCAATAATAAGCTATAGAAGTAGATGGTCACATTCCCCAGTTCACCCTGAAACCAGGCCACACAAAATGCAATGACTCGGAAAGAATTTTTGGAATTTCGGTGCCTTTGAGCTTTGACTTTATGAGCATAAGATAGTCAACAGAGAAATAAAGATTTCACAACAGAAGACCATCCACACATTTATTTATGTCGTTCATATGCTTAGAATGATACCACCGTGGGCAGTGGGACTGTAATCAACAGCCCCTCGGTCAGTCTCATGGGAAGTCAGGCTAGTTCTAACGTGGTGGTTCCACATTATAAGCAGCATCCAGTCACTTTGCAGACTTTTCATTATGTGAATTTATGGTCTAAAGGTGCATTTTATATATATATCTCATTAAGGCTAGGAGAGTATCATCTATTGGGAACATTCTACAATATGTTATTTTTTTTTAGCTAAGTAAGTATAGGGCTTCCATGGTATTTAAGCTGGTAAAGAATCCACCTGCAATGCAGGAGACCCCGGTTTGGTTTCTAGGTCGGGAAGATCCACTGGAAAAGGAAACAGCTACCCACTCCAGTATTCTGGCCTGGAGAATTCCATGGAATTAGTCCACAGGAAGTAAGACTAACATTTTTAATAGCATAAAAGTTTGAAGTTTTTTTTTTTCTTAAAACCTTGAAATTAAGGACAATGGCTTTCTATAAAATCAGCATTTACAATAGGAAACCTCTCATAAATTCATCATTTAACTGAATTTCTATGGTTTGTTGCTTTTGTTTATTTTCATGATGGTTTCTAAACCAGTCTTGAAGAAATCTGAAAGCTTAGTATCAGTCTTCATTTTATTCTCCAGATCTTGAGGTTTGTTTTATGAAATATTAGAAATCAACCTTCTAATTTATAGAATCCAATACATTGGCGATCAGGAGATAAAACATAGTCTATTAAGCACTTTCTACAATTGTTTTATAGGATTACATTAAGTGTGGCAGTTGTATGGGTTTATAAGGACATTTGTTCATAAGAGAACTCTCAAAAAGAATGCAATTAATGGCATTGAATTTATAAATATAAAACTAAATGGTGTAAAGATACACTTTTAATTGCATGATAGAAATCATTGGTTGAACACTGAATATTGAAATGGATACACACAGGCCTTATTTCTAGAACAGTCTTTCTCAGCTGTGTTTAGAAGTGCTATTCATGTCCCTCTCGAAGTCGCGCTCGCCATCCTGGGGGCTGGGACATGCCCAGCGTTCCAGCCAGCACCGGCGCCCCTCAGTCCCTTTCTCTCTGGGTGCGCAATGAGATTAATGCGCTGCGTGATAGAGCACTTGACCTTGCTTGTATCACAAAGATCTCGTTAGACTATGCAGCTGGGCCATTATTAGCTCAGTTTTCTCCAGCTGGGCACTTGATACAAGAGTCCTGGCAAGGTCACCGGGGGGTGTGAGCAGCTCGCAGCATGCTTCATTCAAACTCGCTGATAATCGTCTCCTAAATGACACTCCTTTTTAATTATGCATTTTGCACATGAACTTTGCATAAAGGTAAAAGAAGTGTGGAAGGAAATAAGCTTCTCTATCAGCTTGTTGACAGTTCACCCAACGGAATAGTCACCATCCTTTGAATCCAGATAGAAATCTTTGCCTGGGAACCCAGGTTGTCAGACTCCTGCTAACAAGGACTCAGGTGTATGAGGCTGGTCATCACATCTTTCTACCCTAAATGGATCTTTAGGCTTTGAAGATTTTAGGTTAGATGTGGTAACATTTTTACAACATGGTAAATGTACAAGTAACATAATTTATCCATGTCACCCCATTAAGATAAAAGACCATTTATTTTTAATTTCATAGTATCAGAGAATAATAACTATAACCTATTTTCCAATTTCTTCAGCTTTCAAGTTTGCTGCCAGAAATTTGGCTTATTTGATAATCAGATAATAATCTTAACAAGCATTACTATCATTAAAAAGCACTATTTTCATAATCTGTAATTTTTACCAAGTGGGTTCTCTGTATTTCACTCACCTTGCATAGAAGCATGGGAGAGAGCTCACCTTTCTAATCCTTTTGCACACATGAAGAGTCCGAGGCACATAGAAGCAGAATGCCTTTTCTAACAGTACACAGACATGTGTCCACTGGCAGGTGACATAAATCCCTGTCTTTCCATCCCAGATCAAAACTGTGGGTCTAGAACAGTGTTCTTAACTCTACATTCATGTTATAATTCCCTGGGAAGATTAAAAAAAAAAATCCCCTTTCCCAGTCCTACAGAGATTCTGATCTGATTAGCTTGGTAGGGAGTCTGGGCATCATGGTCGGTAACACAATGCCAGGTGTTTCCGATGTGCAGCCAGGCAGGAGAGCCACGGGTGAGAACAGTGTCTACCCCAGGTCCGGGCATACACAGCAGGCATGTAGGTTTCAGACAGAGTAGACGCTGCCATGTCCTTGGGCACATCCAGAAAGATCCTGTGCTGTGTCTTCTGTGTTTATGCGTAAATGTCCTCAGGGAAGAGTCAGCTGGCCATGGAATGAGATGTCCTGTGGCCGCGGGGGGGGGGGGGG